GGGGGGGGGGGGGGAGTTGCCAACTTGAATTCTTTATATCAATGCTAAATGTCTTCGGCCTTTAGTAGCCTACTTTAAGGTTTGATCGAATCTGATTCAAATAGATTAGATTACCGGCGTTTACCCTCTTTTGGTTCCTTAAGAGTAAGGGAAGGTAAGGGGAGAGGCTCATTAATTTAATCATCATATACATCCCTTTTTTTGATACAATTAACAAGTGAATAGCAAAAGGAAATACTTCAACTAGCCCACCTTTTTTTTAAAATTTTATATTTGAAAAAAGGGAGTAGGTGAATCACAAGAAAAAATAAAATTATAATAAATAGATATAGAGAAGTATATATGTTATGTCCACAATGTTACCTCAATATTTCTTACTCTTCTCATATTCCCGTGACACAATGATATTGTGATGGTAATTATGCGTTTAATACCCTCCCAAGTATTGTCTCATAGCAGTTGACAAGTTCAAACCTAAGGATAATCAAGATATAAAATAAAACAAGTGTGTTATTAGAACATTTTTTGTTTGCTCTACTAACAAATATGGAGAGCAGTATCCGCAACTTAATAGTAAGCCAAAGAATGAAATGGATCATAAAACTTGTAGACTTATTATATTATATCCCTTGTCTGAAGACTAGCTGATCCTTTTTTGATCTTTAGCGTAATAAGTACATGAAACTAAAATGACTTTTATGCATCAGAGGGAGAATGATGACTAGCAAAATGAAAATTTATCTGATATTAATTTTTTTAACCTCTTCCATATGGCACTTATTTCGTTATCAATTGGATATTATTATAATGTCCGCATCATGATAGTGTGAATGGTGAAACGACCAGCACCATTTATTTTCAGCTTAAACTAGCTTGGATACTAATGTCACCTTTTCAAACTTAGACAACGTAATTTCTCCATCAACAACTTTTTTTGCCAACATATACAATGAGGGCCTTGATTATGTTGGCAAAACAAGTTGAATGGGAAAATTTAGCTGTCTAAGTTTGAAAAAGTGGCATTGGTATTGAACCAAGCTGGTTTAAGTTAAAGATAAATGGTACTGGTCCTTTCACCACTAACACTATCATGATGTGGACATATTAATCATATTCGGTTGATAGCAAAAAAATGCGTCATATGGAAGAGATTAAAAAAAAAACTAGTACTTTAACATATTTTCATTTAGCTTGTCATTATTTTCTATCCGATGCATGGAAGTCATTTTTTCATGGACTTAATGTGCTAAAGCGCACAAAAGGATCAATTAGTTTCCAGACAATGGATAAAGTACAATAAGTGTACAAGCTTTGTGATTTCTGGTAAGTTGTGGATACTTCTCCCCATATTTGTTAGTAGGGAAAACAAATGATGTTTTAGTAACACACTTGCTTTATTTTATATCTTGATTATCCAAGTTTGAACTTGTCAACTTTTATGAGACAAAACTTGGGGAGTTATCAAGCCCCCGGTGTAGCTCGAAAGCAGAAAGAGTAGGATTCATTGGAGAGAGCTTGGTGGTCTTAAGAATGATCCGTGGGGGATTCTTTTAAGAATAAAAAATTAAGATAGATTCTAATTCAAGCGAAACCAGTGGTTTCTTGGTCCTGACCAGCTAAGACTAAAGTATCATTAAAGAGCGTTTCCACGTGGTAGAACCTCCTTGGGGTTATAAGATTTTCATGAGGCTGATCTTGAGTCATCTTCCAAGCGCGAAAACCTTCTTTTAAGAGAATATTTTTGGTTGAATTAGTACAATTGTTGGTAGCATTATAGTCGGTATTCCAAGAAATGCTGGCTTTTCCAGTTGCCCTAGATGCATGTAATGGCATCAAGTACTATACATTTTTGAGGCGCACATACACAAAGGAAATTCCTTTCTTGTCCATACAAAATTTAATATGATATGTTTTATTTTCTTGACTTTGATAGTTTATGAGCTAATATGGTGTGATAATATGTTGTATCTTCTGCAGGCATTTATTATTGCTTCAACTGCCACAGAAGATGAGATGTTAAACTGGTAATTACTATTCTAAATAGCAGCTAAATTCATTTCTAATCTCGCTCAGCTCCCTTTTTGTAGCACTCAGGTGGCTTACTGGATTAGTTATGTGCTTGATTTATTCATCAATGTAGACACTTTGCAATTCTGAAGCTGCTATACGTTTCCAGTTTGTAGAATCTTTTTGAAGAATATTAGATAATTAATGCTCGTAATAACGATCTATATGCCTTCTCCTTGGTCAGGTATCGTGAACATGTGGTATGGACTGACAAAGCGGTGAACCTGAAACTATTGAGGAAAGGCATTTTAACTCGTATTTATGCTCCCATGGTAAGCTTGGACAACCTGACTTCAGAATTCTTTTTCTTTGGGTCCAAAAGTGCAATTCTCTTGTATGAAAAAAAGAGAGGAGGTAAATCTAGCGAAAGAATCTGGACAAGAACGATTTAATAGGTCATCTTAAAAAGAATATCTTCCTGTCAGATTATAAGTCCTCAGAACACAAGAATAGTGTAGCCTTTGAAATGAGTACATATCTCTAGCATCAATTTTGATAAGAACCATGTGAAGCTGATGGAAATATGTTCTATATATCGTTTATTGTGTTGGAAATGGAAATAGGGTATTGCTCGGGAAGAATTTTGGCTGTGGGAGGACATCCTTGGAGAACTTATTCTCGTAGGATGGACTAGTAGTCAATGAAGTGGTTGAGAATCATGAGGTCTCAGGTTCAAATTCCAATGGAGGTAAAAGCACTAGGTAATTTCTTCCCTACGTCCAAGTCTTGGTAGACAGAGATACTCAGTACCTCTATTGGTGGGAGGTAGCAGGTACCATGAGAACAGTCGAGGCGCAAACCAGCTAACCTGTGGGAGGACATCCTTGGAGAACTAATTCTCGTAGGATGGACTAGTGGTCAATGAAGTGGTTGAGAATCATGAGGTCTCAAGTTCAAATTCCAATAGAGGTAAAAGCACTTGGTAATTTCTTCCCTATGTCAAAGCTTTGGTGGACAGAGATACTCAGTACCTGTATTGGTGGGAGGTAGTAGGTACCATGAGAATAGTCGAGGTGCGAACCAGCTGGCCTGGATACCAAGCTTATCGGAAAAAACTATTTCTCATAGGATGGACTAGTTAATGAGAGAGAAGCTAAAGGTCAGCATGTTAGGGTTTTACATGGGAAATACATTTTAGGAGAGTTATCCAAGGTATACTTTAGGTACCATGAGAATAATCGACTAGTCACTAAGAGAGTTGCTAAAGCATGTTAGGGTTTTACATGGGATATACATTCGATGATTTTCTGCAAAAAATGCAATTTTCTTTCATTAAACTCTTATTAAATGGAGTTGTCAGAAGAGAGGTACAAGGAGGTGTGGAAAATGGTATTGAACATCGAAGCATCATAGAAAGTAGCTTCCCTTGTTCAATGCGTGGCACGCGATACCATATTAACATCAAACAAGTGATGCAACACCATAAAAAGGAGATAGGGAGAAAAGATGAGGGAAAAAATGAGAAACTCTAGATGATGAACTGGAGCGTGTCTAATCAGTTCCAGGGAAAAAAGTCCTAATTGATAGGTAACCTCGCGTATGCTACACTCAATAAGACAAAGAACTTTTATAAAAAATAAAATTAATAATAAAGATAACTTCAAACTAAAGAATATTGTTTCAAGGTAAACTCTAAAAAATTACTAATAAAGATAAAGTTTAATCTAAAAAGATTAAGGCGAAATGGTTTCCTGGCCACTTAAACTTGACGGGGTTTTAAAAGCCGATACATAAACTTATATTGTTCCCATTTGAACACTCGAACTTATTTTTTCCATAACTAATAAACACATTTGACCATTGACCATGCCCATGTGGCGTCAGTTGGTCCTAATCAGCAGCCCGCGTGAGGAACACGACGCATAGGAGCGTGAAACCCCCCTTCCCAACGCCCAACAGTACAAAATTGTATACATATTTTGTTTTCCTTAAATACTCCTAACAATTAATTGGCATGCTTGAATAGTACATGTTTTTTTTGTCTTTTTCACAAACATTAAAACCCATCATAATTTTGCACCCCCATGCCCCGTTCCTCTCTCCCCAGTTTCTCTCTATTCAGAAACTCTCGTTCTCCATCCTCTTTACTTACGCCATAGACACTCGAGAAAGAAAAAATGATAAGCTCTCTCTTTCTGTTTCTTTCATTATACAATGTGCCAACAGAAATTTTAAATATTTGAGTAAGTGAAACAATATTTCTTCACAATTTACCACCCATCTCAATAAAAGAACCCAAAATACAATCTTTCATTTTTTTCAACCCCACTCTTTCTAGATCTGCAATTTTCGATCTAATAAAAATGATGGGTTAGTGCCGTCCAAATCTGATTCTATATTACTCTAACTGCTGAAGCTTCTTAAAAAAAACTAAAAAGGAATGACAACAATGAAGGAAAAAGAAATAATTATTGTCCAAATAATATTCTAATTTGTGTTCTGTTTATAGGTTGCATCCATTTTATCAGTTTAATATTTTTGCTTGTTGAGGTTATCATCATTGACATGAAAAGAAAAGATAGAGAAAAAGAATTGGGCAGGCTTAGTTTTTGGACTAAAAGATAGTAAAATCCCTCCTGCTAATGTGTTGTTAGGATGCTGCTAGGGGACCAGGATTAGGGTTTTCGCGCCCTTGACGTGTAAGACATCCATTGGTCATTTGCTGACTGGATGGACACGTATGTGTATATGTAATACACGCGCACATGGTCTCTTGTCAGATGTGTTTATTAGTTATGGAAAAAACGAGTTCGAGTGTTCAAATGAGAAAATAGAAAGTTTATGTATCGGCTTTAAAAAACCCGACAAGTTTAAGTGGCCAGGAAGCCATTTCGCCAAAGATTAAAGATGAATATGAAAATGAGGAAAGAAATTTCTAGAGCAGTCTATCTTCTTCTACTAATAAAAGTTGGGAGAGGTATGCAGATCACATTGTCTCGTCAATTGACATCATGGACACTCGTGTTTTTCTAGTGTGATATTTCATGCATATTGGCACAGACAATGGATGAAGCAGCCATAAATTTGAAAATACTGAAAACCAGATGGAAGCATCGTGGTTGTGTTTATTTTGGATTATATGGAGTGCAAGAAATAGGAGATTGTGTTTAGAAACGGTGTAAAATGATGTTGGAAGTTTTGAAATATTTTCTCTATTCCATTATATGTCTAGATCGAGATCGAGATCGAGAGAGATTATATGGAATGCAAGAACTGCGCGATTGTTTAGAATTGATGTAAAATGATGTCGGAAGTATTAAAACATTTTCTGTATTCCAATATATATGTAGAGAGAGAGGCTGTCCCGCAGAAAGATTAGGGATGAATTGCTCCTGAGGCTTTGATTTAGGGGTAAAGACGCAGCATGGGATGTGTGAATTGGGCATAGTTTCACCCTTGTCATCGACACAAAAGGTGGTATTTAAGTGGACTTTTGGGAGTAGGGTACAGAGGCGGGCCATGCTCCCTCAAGTTTTAAACCTATGAGGACAACTGGGATTCCAATATATATGTAGAGAGAGAGAGGCTGTCCCGCAGAAAGATTAGGGATGAATTGCTCCTGAGGCTTTGATTTAGGGGTAAAGACGCAGCATGGGATGTGTGAATTGGGCATAGTTTCACCCTTGTCATCGACACAAAAGGTGGTATTTAAGTGGGACTTTGGGAGTAGGGTGCAGAGGCGGGCCATGCTCCCTCAAGTTTTAAACCTATGAGGACAACTGGGATTCCAATATAATATGTAGAGAGAGAGGCTGTCCCGCAGAAAGATTAGGGATGAATTGCTCCTGAGGCTTTGAT